TTTCAGCAATTTGCTTTAAAGAAAAAATCACCAGACACTAACAGAGATTTGGCAACCTCCTTAGAATTAGGCTAGCCTGTAACCGCATCTTCGGGAGAGGCAACGAAAGCCAAGATCACATCCTGAGCCAACGCTTTTACTACCTACAGCAGATGCACACAACTTAGATATTTCAAAAAGAGTGTTGAGAGGCCAGCATTTTTACGTTACAAGTGACAATGACCAAAGCCTGACTTACCAGCTACTGGACAGTTTTCCTGGTAAGAAGCCTCTGCTGTTGAGGCATCTGTGGTGATCAAAAACAGCTAAGGGCTGACGCTTCTTAGACACTGTAACTCCGTGCCACCTTGTGAGTCTTGATGCCTAAGAGAGCGTGTTTCAGAGAGGATTTCTGACTGGCACAGAGCCAATAATGCAGCGCAGTAACATGGCAAAGGCCATTAAAGACTCTGCCATTCTGAATTTCATGGCCACATGCAGACACGATTCAAAAATCCAAAGATCCTGCAACACTACAAGCAACAGTTAAGCAAGTCTTTCAGCCGCCGCTCATGGTAATCCGTTATGAGCACAGACTAACATGGGCAGATAGAAGCAATACATGTAAGTGCCTAAGCTCTACACTCTTCATATTTGAATGTTTAATTACATAAAAGAAGGCTCTAGGTCACACCTCTGAATTAGGATTATGAGTGACTCTCAAAGTTCCAGTAAAAGCAACTCAGTACCTGCTTTGGGTTCAGTGGCTGTGCAGCATCTATGACCCAGCCAAACCTCTAAGGCGTACAGTCCAGAGAAACAACTGGAGAGGTGCCCACAAAGTCTATCAGCATGGAAAAGCATCAGCTCTAGAGCAGGGAGTCAGATGGCATATGAAAGCAACATTTCTGGAGGCTTCTGCTAGAGATGCTCTACACAGCTGGATCACAGGCACCAGCTTGAAGGGATGTTGGGACGTCTCTAGTCCAAGTTCCTCCTCAAAGCAGGGTCAATGACAAGTTTACGCTGGGGTTTGAAAACTTCAAAGGGTGGAGATCCCACAACCTCTCTAGGTTCTAATGCTTGACTGTCCTGTTGTGAAAAAGTTTCTCCTTACATCTAGCCAGCTCCTCTCCTGTTTCAACTTCCGCTTGCTGGCTCTCGTTCTCCTGCCATGCTCCACTGGAAAGTCTGTCTCCTTCTTCTTGACCATCCTCTCTCAGGAGCTGACAAGCTGCTATCAGGTCCCCTCAGAGCCATCCTCCCTCCAGGCTGGACAAGGCCGGTTCTCCCAGTCTCTCCTCGTGTGCGGATCCAGCCCTGTGACCGACCTGACAACCCCCTGCTCAACTCAGTCCAGTTTGACAATGTCGAATTGGGGGTCTCAAAACTTGACACAGTGCTCTAAATTCCTTCTTTGTAGCCTGTGCCTGCTTCGACCTCTCATACGCTGCCTTTTGATGTTGGGACCTCCACTGTGAGTTCCCTGCTTAGTTAATCTGGGCTCCTCACAAATCTGCTCATTTTCCTGCACATCAAGACAGACTCTTCTGTGTCCGGAGGGTCCCCAGAGGCCGGCCAGCTTCCCTGAGCCACTCTGCCCTTCAGAGCTGCTTCCCATGGGACCACACCTACCAGTTCCCTGAAGCAGCCAAACTCTGCTTGTCCGAAGTCCAGGATCTGTACTTCGCTACGCTCCTTCTTCATTCCCTTCAAGATCTTGAACTTCATTATTTCACAGTTGGTATAGCCAAAGCTGCCCCTTCTTATCACATCCCCAACCCTGACAGATCCAGGTGTTCCTCACCTCTGCTTGGCTCAGATGGAGAAAGAGGTGGACAGGAGCCACACAGTGACCCAACAACAGGACAGCTATTGTGGTTCAGGTCTGTGCAGAGATCCCACGTGGTGGCCACTGAACGGCAGCAGGACCTGACTGAACATTTGCGTAGAGGAGAATGAAGTAGAGAGGATGAAAAGGGGAGGACAGCTGCACAAAAACCTGTCGGCACAGCTAGACAAAGAGCCCTTGGGGGAATGTGGGGCCCAGTGAGAAGAACAGCAGCCAATACTAAGAGATAAGCACAGGTGAGGGAGACGCCGTTTGCTGTTCCAGAGCTGCACTCCCCTCAGCCAGTTAAATGGAGAAAAGCTGAGACACACACAGCCACAGACTCAGAGGGATTTTCATCTGAGACTCCTGCACCAGCACAGGCAGGCAAGGGAGCTACAGAAACAGGAGAGTGACTCACAGCCATGGTGCCTGGGAGAAAACGGAATGACTCAGACCTGAGAGACACTGACCAGAGCAATGAGGAGACAAGGCCAGGAGGAAGAAGAGGCGCAATGTGCCGTGCAGCCGCCTTTCTCTGCAGACAGCTTGTGGCCTGAGGCAGAAACTGAGGCACAACTGCAGGGCTTGGGTCACAGAGGCCACATCAGCTCCAGAGATCGGGGTCCCCAGGTATGAATGAGGATGCCTGTGAACTTTGCTGAGACTGGACGAGGGTTTCAGTGGCCTGAGAACAAGGGAAGAACCCAGAGGTAAGGAAAATGGGGTGGGGTACAGCCTGCTGCACGCAACTGGAGTTAATGCAAAATGCTAAGCCTTGATACATTACAGTGTGTCAGCCTGGGCTTAATCAAGTCTTCCTTTTCATTAAAATTGCATTTTAGACAAAAGATACGCAGTAGATCCAACTGACCTGCATTTCAGCAAAGCATTTGACATATAGTCATAAAGGGAACCACTACTTAAGGCTGAAAAATGGGGATTAGAACAAGAACAATATGTGGTAAAGAAGTAGCATAGAAAAAAAGTATTAAGTAGGAAGTACCTCATGGACCATCTCTGAAACTGATTTTATTTCGATATTTTCATTAATAGCTCCTGCACAAAAAGGAGAAGTATGCTAACAAAACTTAATAATGACAAATTTGGGTGCCATTGGCAACACAAGGCAGAAGACAGCAGAGAGAATGTAAGGAAACTGAGAGCTGTACAACAGAAATGGGATGAAATACAGCATTATAAAGCACAGGATCATGTTCCTCAGAGTCTATACCCTTAATTCCTGCTCTAACATGGGAATTCATCAGTTGCAAACAATAGAAAGTACAAACACTTGCAAGTATTACAGAATGACCATATGCCGTATCAATGTGGTAAGGCCATAAAAAATAAAATGTGATCCCAGTCTTCATTACTGGCTATTTCCAGTAGAGATAAAAATGTGTTAGTGACGTTCAAGCACTGGTGATACTGGTAATCTGTAATACTATGTACAGTTCTGGTCTCCTGAGAGGTAAATTTAAAGAGGTTCTGAAGAGGTGAATTCAACCTGGAACAGATGTAACGGAGGACTGGGAGAATTAGAATTGTGAGGAGCCCCTCTTACTTGGCAAACTAAAAGCACCTGCCTTGCCAAGCCTATCAAAAAGAAAAAAAAACCCCAACTGTTGGATCTGAAGTATCTCAGAAGTAATGAACCTAATGGCTGTTGAGGCAGCAATTGTATAGTGGCTTCCACGACAGAGGGAACCAGACTGGATGCGCCAGGAGGTCCCATGCAGTTCCATAATTCTATCTTTCTGCACGTAACAGTTTGCGAGGTTGACTTTTCTCATATGATTATATCCCTGCAAAATTAAATCCTTCTCAAAAAGCTGAACTGTAGCATCTGAGTGACCCTACCCAACCAGCAACACGCTCCAGCACCATAGCACGGGATTGACCAGAGAGCCTGGAAGTGCAGCAGCAGGCTATCTGTGCCAACTGCCCGACTCACTGTCACAGCAAGTAACAAGGAGAACCCACCTCCTTTTCCATGGTTACAGAAGATGGTTTTCAAGAGTTAAATGCATTTAATATCTTCCTCTCTGCCCTTCACAGCTCCCAGAAAACACAAGCAAGAGTCTGCAAAAAGTCTGTGGGTAACAGATGCAGGAATGAGGCTTTCACACAAACACCATGGAGGATGCAAGAGTTCAAAGGTCTGGATTTAATGGCAGCTTAGTCCTTTCAAGACAGCAGCATGAGAGATCTAACGGCCAACCTGTGAGAGGCTGCACTTTCAGAGGATGGCAGGAATTACATGAGAAGAAGTGACAATATGACATCAGGAGTGCCAAAGAGGGCTCCCCAGCTTGGGTGGCTGGCACCAGGTACCTGTGGAATGGCACAGAGGAGAACCTGGAGGCTGCCGGCAAGTTTGGGTTTACACTGGCAGTGGAGAGGTAGACTTGAAAGGGACATGGAGATCTGCACACCTGCCAAAGGGATTCTGAGCCCAGAAAAAGGGGTGTGTGTTTTGAAGACTAAGGAAGCTTGCCTTTTGGGACCAAGTAGGTTTTGGGGGAACTGCACTGAAGAAGACACAAGAAAGGAAAAGTCTGGGAATAATGAAAGAGAAGGGGAGCAGAGAGAAATTCCAATGTTTAAAAAGGAAGCAGAAGATTTCAGCTCTGAGGATCAAGCATAGGCAGACACTAAAAGCTAGACATATCCCCAGGGATAAGAGAATTAATAACTCTCTGGACACTGCAGGCCCCTTGAACTCTGTTGTTTACACTGGTGCTTTTCAGTCTTTCCAGGACACAACGGCAAAAACTAGAACCTGGCAGCTCTGCTGGGCCAGAGAGACCTGAGAGCGAGCCCATCTCCTGGAGAAACAGCTGTGCTCCGAACCAGCCTTTGGCCAGCCTCAGAAATTGATCCAAAACATCCCCGAGACCCAGCGGGCCCCAGCATCAAGTTGCGTACTTTGCAGCCCAGCACCACTGTCCATCCAGCAAGTGGCCTCGGCTAACCCAGCGCACGAGGACGGGGACGATGGGGCCGGGCTGCTCCACGCTCCAAGCCCCCAGCCCCAGCCCCAGCCTTCCTCTAGACTTTCACCCACTGCCTACTTACTTTTTAATTAGATTTTTAAACAAAAAGTTAAAGTATTTTCTAAAATCCCTCTAATTACACTAAGATGCTGGACTGATTGCGAAGGGAATAGGAAATGAAAGCGACTCACCCTCTGAGGGAGAATTTTGTCAGCCATCTTCCTCCTCTTGGCACTGTACATTTTTTAAAGAAAAAAACACGTTACCATGGTGACAGATCTAGGAGTAACGAGGCCACCTGCTAAATTATCCTGACATCTCCACATGCTGGTGCACAGCTGTGCATGCATCAGCAAAAGGGTCTCACCCATGCCCAGGCCCTAGGACCCCTTCTCTCAGCAGCCTGGGGAGGTAGTTAGCGAAGAACAAATCAGGGCTGTCTGTTATGCATCTTGGAAAGAAGTGTGCAAGTTCTTTGATCACAGCATCTTCCACGGTGCAGGGCGGCAATGTATGCAAGTGCATGTGCACATGCTGCCTATAGATACAGAAAAAGCATGTAGGACGACAGCGAGCACGTGTGGAAGTGTGCAGAGATAAACCCACGCACATGCACGTGTGAGGGGCCGAGTGCCTGTAAACAGAACGTGAACTGGTTCAGACAGACCGCATGCATTCATTCCTTCATGCCCTGAACTGAGTGCTGATGAAAACACACACACATACGTGTCTTTCATAGGAGTATGAAAACAGCACATATGCACACCCTTCCCTGTGCACACACACCTGTTTTATTGTAATGCATTTGCATGAGCAATATACAAAGGTGACTGGGCTGAGGCTTCCACGGCTGTTTATCTACATGAACGCACACTGGGAAGATACGCCTGTGCCTGCAGTGTACACACCTAATGTGTCCATTCATAGATCTGTGCTTTTAAAAACACACTCGTGTTCCCGTACATACACACAAATGTCTATGTGCCTAGGAAATGGTACTGGCGGGGAGATTGCCAAATATAGTCTTTTGAATTCTTCAGATTTCAAGCGCCGTTTGTGCCCACCAAGCCTGTCCCCTGGCTTTCTCTAACAGGGCCGAGAGGGAATTCAGGACTTATTCTTCACCCCTACACTTTGAGAGGCCTTTATCTTAAGCAGGAGATTAATCACTCCGCCTGTGACAGACAAACAGGAGAAGGTGAACCGCCTGCTGCGGCTCTGCCATGTCACAGGGTGCCCCTCCTCGCTGTTTCCATACGGGAAGTCTGTCATCAGCCATCTCCACCTAAGAGCTGTTTCCACGCACAGCGATGTGGCCCACTCCCTTCCTATGTTTGCTAATATGAAAATTGTCCTGAAATACCAGATTCCTAGATTCCTCCCCATCCCCATTTAAGCCAAGCCTGAGGAACTGGTTGTACCTGGAGGTGCAAACTACATCCTTCCTGGGGGCAGAAAATTCATCCACACGGTCACACCCAACCTCCCTTTTTAAAAGTGTACGAATAACGGGACTGGAATGTGACATAGTGTGAACCTCCAGCACCGTGCACAGCTCACAAAATCAAATCTGCACTGAAACTCTGCACAGAATCTCGAAGTAATGCCTGAGCAAGCTCCATCCTCTCAAAGGGAAATGCTATACGCATGCGCCTGCAACAACCCCAAAGGCGTGCAATTAAAAAGCAAGGAACAAATAAACCAAAAACCCCCAACAACTTGGGTCTCAACCAGTTCTCCAAGAGTCTATTACAGAAATTAGATTTTTGTCTCCACCAAACCTGCCAAGAAAGGATGACTACACCTTCTTGGCCTGTTTATGCCACAAAACATAGGACTCAATTTCTCCTAGAATTAGACCTAAGCTGCCAGAAAAGTTTGCCTGAAAAAAACCAGAAAAATTTAAATGGGAAATGACAGGGAGGTGGAAATGAAGGAGGGGAGAATGTTCAACACATTATCTGGAGGAAAGGCATGGCAGAAGAAACAGAGAAACTTTTCTGAGTGCCCAGGTATCACTGGTGTGAGCTGGACTCAGCGCAGCAGAGATCAGTGCTGGGTTCCAAACTAGAAGCACTGAAGTTAAGAACTGGGGAGGGGGAACTGCTTCCTTCTGTGAGCTAGGCCATCAGCTTTCAGAAAATACTCTTCCTTAATGATCCCTGGAAACTAGTTAGTGACTGAAGTTTACTGTAATCATCCAGCAGTGGCAATGTCTTGCGTTATATCTGCGCTGTATTTGTGCGGTTTCCAGGAGCACCTCCTGGGAGGTGCTGTGGAATGTGCGTGTTGGCTAGCGCTGGGCAAGAGCTCTGCGGCACACATGCACCTCCTGTGCTCACGTGCTGCTCTCACACACATTCCTTCTGTATTCGATCTTATTCAATCGCAATGTATTAATACTCTCAGGACTGGTGTCCTTTCCAGATGCATCCCAGACATCAGCATTCCCAAGTCTGGCTTGCTGATCCAAGGCATATAACCTGGACTGAGCAGGGCTCCTGAAGCGCTGAGCTTGGACAGTCAGGTTCCACCCACAACTAGATGCGATGACACCACCAGATCCCTGTCTGAATCTATATATGCACCTATAATGATTCTGCAAAAGGCAGACCACCTAGATGACTGCACCCTGCGTATTGATCAGGAACTGGCTCACACTTGGGACTCCAGACTGCTGAGGTCTAATAAGTTACAAAAATAAATTAGCAAACTGCTATTTAGGACAGAATGCATTCATCACTGTACAAAGTGGGCATATTTTAAAAAGAAAGTTCCTTTAAAAAAATCCCTCTAAATCTATGAAATTATTTCCTATACATATCTCTCTGTTCAATATGTAGGAATGCCTGTGACAGCTGCAAGTTTTATGACCACTCTCCTGACTGACCACAGTACAAGTATTCACATCACCAATCAAAATTTTTTTCCACTTATCTCATTTACAAACCATCTTGTTAGCCAGTCAGAAATCAGAGACACTATACAGGACAGATAACAAATAATACAGTAATTGTACTATATTAGAAGAGAACTGTTAATTAACTTTAAAGGCTAAATATAACAGCCAGATTTATAGCCTGATAGACCTGTGAGGTAAAAGCATCGTGAGTGCAAAACCAGACATCAGTAAAGGTCAGTTTTTTCAAGACCATTCACAAAGTAAGGAGTAAAATCTGCCAGTGTTTTTCCTGCTTTAAGAAACTGACCATATACAAATCTTCTATGCTGTCTCATTTATCTTACAGGTCTTACCTATTGCTAAAAAGACATCGTTTTTTCTTCCTCAAATTGTTCTCCCAGGTTTTCTTTCCGGACACTCACCTCCTGGTGCGGTTCTGAGTGGCCTGCTGCTGCTGTTGCACTTGCTGCTGCACCTGCTGCTGCTGGACCTGCTGCGGCGCCGGGCGCTTTCTCGTGGTTTCCATCACAGTCTGGGGCATTCCAGGTCGCACTGAGGGGCTTCCGACATACGGGGCGCCTGGGGGACCCATGGGAGCCCCTTGATGGGGCATCCGAGCTCCTGATGGCATCCCAGGTCGCTAGAGAAGAAGCGAAACAGAAAGAGCCGGTTTGGTCTGTGCTCCTTCTGCTGCACAGACATTTGTACGCGATCGGACACTAGCTCCAGCACGCTCCCCACTCTGACCATCCTGATAAGCACTAAGCAGCAACACAGAGCACACGAGCTCCAGATGGTATTTCCTGGACATCGTAAAGAGGAACTCAGTGGTAAAGCGGATGGGAAACAGGGATGAGAAATGCTGGGCTTGGGAGAACACCCCATGGTCAGTGCCGTGCCCAGGCCAGCTCGCAGCTCTACCTTCCGACAGAAGAACAAGCTCCACGGCAGCTGTACGCCGTCCAAATGGGTGCAGTTCACATGCTAATCAAAGCTTCAAGCAAGCTCATATCTACTGTGCTTCAGATGCACTGACGAGCAGGGTGCTTTGATCAGCAGGGAGACGGTAACGAGCCAAGGGGAACCATGAAAACACAACGAGACGTCTTCCACTAAGAGCCCTCTCCTTCACCTACACCAGAGAGCGGTGTAAGCTCATAAAGCGACAAGAATCCTTTAAAAAAAAGTCATGTCTCTGATCAAGCCACTGAAATAAAATAAAATTAATGTGGTCGTTCGTCAGCAGCTCCTGTAGGCATTCTGAAGTCCTGACATTTATGTGGACTTCAGCGTGCTCTGGAGAGACACTTTGGGTCAAATCACAAGCTTAATGCTGTACAGGACACAGCAAACTCAATTCTAAATTGGCAAGGATGAAGGCCAGCATCGAAAAACTCCAGAAGGACTTTATGAGACAGAATGAACACTTAAGATGAAAATTGATTTCAATAAATATTGAAGTGAATTACACGGGGAAAACACAATCCAGTCATCACATATAAAAAACAATGGGCTCTGAGCTGACTGCTGCCCAACAGAAGCAAGATCTTGGAGTTTAAACAGACACTTCCATCAAAAAAAAATCACCACCAAAAACCGCTCACTGCTTACTAGAGTCAAAAAAAGCCATTAAACGCCAGAAATGACAAGGAAGGGAACAGAGAACATCACTGCGCCACTGTCCATGACTTGCCCACATGCTGAATGCTGCAAGCTCTGGTCCCTGCAGCTCGGGACTGGCAGAGTAGATCTGAAAAAAGTACAGAGAGCGGCACAGAAGCGATCGAGATGTGGAACTGCATCCACGTTAAGTAAAAGTAAATATACTATGAGTTTCCATCTGGAAAGAGGTGACCCAAGGTAATATAAGGGGGCATTTGCTAGAGCTCTGCAAAGTCAGGAGTGGCCTGGAGAGGGCAGCTGGGGATTGAGCGTTCACTGCCCCCCAGCACACCGAACCCACTGTCGGAGCAGAGCCAGGCTCACAGGCACCAAAGGGGGAGAGCCTGGGGAACCCCTTTCCACGGGGCGCTAACGGCATGGGAAACACGTCTGGCTGAGAAACTCCTCTGAGTTAGCAACAGTTGAAGACTGAGAAAGTACCCGGGAGCTGTACACCAGTGGTCTCCAAAGTGAGGTGCGTGCACCCCAGACGAATGCAAGACAGTCCACTGGGGGGTGGGAAGAAAATGGTTTTTGTACCATTAATAAATAAAATAAAAATTTTAAAAATAGTTTATTTCAGGTTTATATAATCCTTTTATAATTTCTAAATATATAACTCCAGATGTAATTTGGATCTGCATCTCCAAATCAACCACCCAAAGGCACTGTAGCGCCCAAAGCCCCAGCTTAGCACTCGCCCTGATCACCACGAGTCTCAGATGTTCCTTGCACTTGTATGCATGAAGGAAACTGGAGAAGGAAAGAAGGGGAACGAATGATCAGCAGAGAGCTAGCGGCTACAATTGGCATTTTTAAGGCTGAGGCAGGAGAGAGACAAGCGCAGGAAGCCGAGCGGGTGGGTTCAGCGAGTACTTGTGTAGGAAACCGATGTGGGCACGGCAGCAAGAGGCATAACTGAGGGTTTGTGCAGAGCTGGAAACATCTTCTCCCGTAGCACGGAGCTACAACAGCTGCTGGAACTGCGCAGCTCTCCCCGTGCCCACGTGCTCGCCCCCACCTGCTGACCCGGGCAGAGTCAGCAGAAACAAATGGCCAGAACACGCTCCTCACTGGGGCCCGTACGTGAGCTCTCTCTGCTGTCTGCCAATCTACACGCTGTGGCCATCCTCCAGCAAAGAGCAGACCACGGGCCGCTGTCGCCTGTCAGTCAGCCGGGGACATTCGACAGTCCCTCTGAAGAGACGAGGCCCTGGGCAGAGCCAGCTCATGTTCACCCCTCCTGGAGACTGCCCGGCCACGCGGATCAGACCGCAGCCCGCCTCTCTTCATCCGTAAAGGACACCGAAAGGCCGGGAGAACAAGGTCAGCAAGCCAGATCTACTCGGGATCTAAGCCTGACATCTTGGAACTTCCTTCGGTTCCCTCTGTTAAGCATCAAAATAGAGAAAGGGCAAAACTGAGAAAGAGGAGACAGCTGCAGCAAAAGCATATTCAGTCTCACCCCTTGCCCCGCCTCATTCCTTCCCTCCCTCTCCATGTTCCTATCGCCCATATCACCCGTGGATGAAATATCACTCACTGTGCAACTGCCATCTCCCTGCTGCAAGCGCACCAGCCTCCCGAGATACAGAAATGCTTCCTCTACCTAGACTTTCATAAAAGGAGAACGAACACGCGGGCAGTACCTCACCTTAGCTGAAAGCTTGTTCTGCTCTCAAACATATGTGCGAGACAAGACAGTGACAGACAATACATTGCATTTTCCACAATACTGACATAAAAAAAAAAGTCTTGGTACTAAAGAGCATCACAACACCACGAGGCCATCTGAAAAAGATCTGGGAGGTGCACCTGCCGGCGGGTCAGGATCTGTCTCTGCCCTCTTCTCAGAGGGATGGCATCTGTCCTCAACAGGCACCATCCCCGGTGAAGCCTGCCACGCCAAACGGCACTGCCACGTCCTTCTTCCTGGGAAACCATCCACCCCAGAGCCCCTACCCAACCCAGCCTGTTCGTACCCACAGACCCCTCCCGTTTTCCTCCGCTGACTCCACACACACGCGTTGCTCTGCACTACTTCAAACACCCCACTGAGCAGAGGCCAAAGCCGCTGCGGGGCACAGGGAACTCGGAAGACCACCGCTCATCCCCCGGTGAAGGGACCATGCGCATCCCTGAGGAGACGAAGCAGAGAGTGGAGCAGAGCTGCTGGCGGAGCAGCTAGACAAAGCCAAACAGTACGGCACACGGAGAAAGGCACACAACCAACGTTCCTGCATGCATGCTGCTCCCTAAGAACTCTGCCGACCGCCCGCCTTCCTGCACACAGCCCACCGCTGCCCTGGCTGCCCCCTCCCAAGCCAAGCACACCCTCTGTGCAGCACGCACATCACCTCCCCAACGGCTGCGCCGCGTCCCCATCACCACCTTCCATTTCCCAAACCACACATCTGGCTTTTCCATTTTCTCCCCTGCCTGAACCTCCTGTCACATCAGAGGACTGCCTCTGTCCTCCTCCTCTTTGTCATTCTTCAAGGGAACCTCTCCTGTCTGAGGGCAGAGATGAGACAACACAGGAGCGGTGCTAGAACTAGAAAGTTCTACTGCAGAGTCTTTTCTCAAGGGACATCAACATCACAGCAGCCAAAACGCTGAAGCAGAACAAAGGAGGGTTGTCTGGACACAGCAGATAGAGAAAAATAACCTGGAGAACTGATGGGTAAAAGGAAAAGAAGATGTCAAGAAAAGGAAAGCAAAAACACCTACAAGAACCTTAGAAAGGGACTGAACAGAGAGCAGGGAGTCACTGCAATGCAACGCAGCATCGAGCTGCACCTACGGCGATTTTCTGTTCTGAAAGAGACGGACTCTCCCTCTCGGCACCATGCAGGAGGGCTCGGATGGTGCTCAGTGAACAGCCACGGGCTTCTTGTTAACAGAGAAACCGATAGATTTCCAGAAGAAGAACAACAATTATGAAGTATACAGACAGCATTTTTTTTTTTAACTAAAGATAGAAGCTACCTTGGCGAGACAATGATTCGTGTAAAGGCATTACAGAGGCTACCGATTTCTATAAGGCATTAACATACACAAGGGGAGATGCCAGATGCTGTCTGGAGGTAAGAATGGGTCACTAGAAGGATCTGGAACAGCTGAGGAATTTAGACTGGACTGAGAATTGTCTGATGGCAACAAGTTTCTGACTGCACAAATGGTTTCCCAACTGAATGTGCCGTTTCAAAACGGACTCGGAAGTCCAAGAAAAAAAGGTGTAGACGGCTTCTCTCCTGTAGCTACAGATGCTACCTCATATGAGTTCCTTCTCTTTTAATGTCTATGAATCTTTTAGAGATTTAGTAAGCAGAAAGATCAGAGTATTGCAATCCTTTGTGCTTGTCTGCCATATTCACCTTCCTCCATTTCCCAAAAGTTCTCACATCCCAGAATCAGGGTCCCAGCGTTCCAGGTTACACCCATTTTTAAATAATGATCACGACAATCCAAAAATCTTTAACTTAGAAAACGTCACCTTTACAGAACTATGAACTGTAACTTGAGGCAAAATTCAGCGACCACCTTCCTATCTCCTGGATGGCCTTTCACAGCTCAGAATAATCAGACACCAAACCTCAAACGAAGTACTTGGATGCAACCAAAGAGAAAGAAAAAAAAGTCTTTGGAATGGAAACCAACAAACCCTGTATACCACCTCTGAGTTCCATCAGCTTGCTCATTTTAATCCATCTGATCATGTCCACTACTGTGATATAATGCCTGGAATGGATTTTGTGTGAAGAACGACCAGAACGCGCCTCGACTCTGTGCAGAGGATGGCTTTGGGAGGCGAGAGGCAACAACAGAGCCCTGCAACACCATGACCAGCACGGGGAGAGCGGAGGCTGACCAGGGCTCACCGCAATGAGGCAGCAGCTAGCGGTTGGCAGGACCAGGTACTTCTAAATGGAAGGTAAGTTGCAAAAATTCCTGACACAAAGCACTGTGAATGCTAAA